CAAAATCACAGTTATTCAACACATTGTTGGGCACGAGCACTTGTTCTATGAGAAGATACACAGCGTTTTACCTAGTTACAAAAGGTCATGTTATAAGGGGCCATGCAAGTCACATATACTAGGTCTAGTCTGTAGAACAGAAGTTTATAACCTTCTCCTTAGTCCTCCTTTGTGAATGCTCATAGAATAAACTTGACATTTCCTTGCTGTTTCTCATCTTGGTATTGAGACTCACTCATGTAGTTCAGGGAAAGACAATATAAAAAGAACATCAAAACAGTTCAGTGAGATACATTAGAGATCTGGACTAGAATTAGTTGCTGAGTATAAAATTGATGTTTCTATAAATCTACTTAAATGTATAACACCCACTTCTTTATTTCCTACATGAATTGTCCAAATATTAGCTGAACAACTAGGGAGACACTAATTATTTGTGACTTTGACACTAGAAGTCATATGGGGCTCTAATGTCTACAGATTTCATCTTTAAATAATGATAATTCAGCACTTTAGTAATGACTTTAGTATTTTTGTCTCTAACTGACGTGTTTCCTTTTAATACGTCCACAAGTGAGACACGGTGGTCCACGTTCCTCTTATGCAAAGAGTATTGCTGTACTGATGAATCTGGAGGCCAAAGGAAACATTTGGTGGCTTGTACCCCAAAGGACATAAGCAGCAAAGCTGTATCAGAGCTCAATAATTCCTGGTTTCCAAAATCTTCTTTGGGCTTATATTATACTGGAATGGTACCAATGTATTTTACACTATGCCATACATTCAGCTCCCACCTACACCTGAGTAGTGAGATACAGTCACAGTTTCTTAAGCAATTGAAAGAATTAAACATCAGAGAAGATAGGCTTGTTATAATATCACTGTCATGGCTTTGCAAACAGATCCATGATTTTATCTCACCTTCGTCATTTATTTATACGGAGTGAATTCTGATGTAAAGAGAATCTGTCCTCTTGAGAAACGTTAGAATTATCATCTGTCTCCATCTATAATGTATGGAGGAGTAAAAGCAGGTTGCTGTATCAGTAGAAAAAACAGCCATATGCAGCAACCTATGCTGCAGACAGCTTCTATCTTTGGTACCTTAATGCTTTTAAGATGATGAAATACCTTCTGCACCCCTACAAAAAGGTTAGACTTCTATTTGTTATTTCACGTAGTCAGTACTTAAACGACAGATAGCATTTAGTCTTGAAGCCAGCTCGTGATCGAACTGAGAAGCACAAAGTAAAGAATAATGTGTTACAGGATCAAAATTCTTTAACGCTCAGTCCACTGTTTTGTATTTCCAAGGACAGGGCACAGCAGCTTGCTCTCCCCTGCACAGCCGTTTACAATACAGTAAGGGAACTTTAAGAAATCCAAAGGCAGTAACAAACAGAGTAAACAAAGCACTGTGTTAGTGCAAAACAGGCCTGATTCACCTTTTGCCATTTCCAGTGAGCTCCTGAAGAACGCCGTGTGGGCATATGAGGGCAGAAATTGGGCCGTCATGTAAAGAAAATGGCTCTGGTAATGATTTCAGCATAAACACGTGGAATTCAAAGCAATCAAACAAGCTAAGCTGAACAAAAGCTCTATCATTTACTAGAGATTTTTCTACAAAGAGCTGTTGCATGGAAAACATAATGATGGATGTAGTGAACTGAAGCATTAATAATGGATATTAATGAACATCATCAATGTGAATTCTTATTTATTTACTAGGGATAGGGCTATGTTTACACATAGACCAAGTGGCTGCGTGGGGTTCCTCACTATGTAAAGCTCCATCATGGGTGACTGCTCTGTGTTTTGACTGATCCTTTTGTTTTTGCCTTTCCCCACTGTTGTGTTTGAGCTGCGCAGCCAGCTGGAACTACATGTTTCAGGGATCTGGTTGTCTTCCCTTTGCCACCCAGCTTGGGATGGAGCCAGGTGAGACAGGGTTGAGGCAAATGGGCTCTTGATGGACTGTGGGGGCAGTGGACACAGCAGGAAGGACTTGGGTCTTTGAATTCCCACTTTGCACGTGTACCTCCTGTCCCATACAAGCTATAAAATTTACTATGTGTTTTGGTCTCCCTGAAGTCAGTTCTCAAGCAGTGGTGGGAATGATGAAGTGATAGTCTAACAGAATCCTTGTATTTTCCCCTCTGCATTTAGGGGAAGTTAATAACTTCATTTTCTTTTTTTGGCCTTAGAGATAGAGAACATAACATAAACACATGTTTGTCCACATCATGTCAGACCAAAAGTCTTTCTAGTGTGGTATCCTTCTCCAGCAGTCAATACAAATGCTTAGGGAAGAGTATAAGAGCAGAGCATATGCAGAATGTTATATCTGCAAAATATTCTGCCACTAGTACTTTGTGGTTCAGGGTCTTCCTGAGCCAAAGCTGGCATGTCTGGCACTCAGTTAATCTCATTTGGAGCCCAACAGTAATTATAATCAACTTTGACCCTCCTCAAACTGCCTTGTAAACATGAGCCAACAAATTATCATGAGCACAGAGGGAAAAAAAAACCATCTTTCCTTCCTTTGGCTGGGTGAAGATAGGGAGAGACTGAATGCCTGCTTACAGCCCCACAGCCAGTTCATGGCAGAACCAGAATCAGAAACTGGAAAATCATTGTCTCTTTTTAGAAGTTTAGCAGACAAACCCATCCTGCTTGAGCTCTTGCTGTCAGAAATTATTTATTCAGAATATTTATTGGAGCAAAAATGAGGCTAAATATTTTTTTATATAATATACATATAATACAGATAAATATATAACAATATGTATGTATTAGACTTTTTTTGCAAGTGATATTATTTTTCCACCTTTAGTTAAATTTTGCTGTCAAGAGCACTCTTTAAGTGAGTGCTGCCTTTCTCTTCAGTTGGAAATAACACCTTCAAATTAGTTTCCCCTAAATTTCTGAACTGGCAAGTACCAATTTGTACAATAGGTTTCCAGCGCCACTGCATTTTCTTTGGGAATGGGTGCAGCACAAAGCCTCCCTGAAGCTTGCCGTGTTGTGAACAGCTCCAGCTGAGGAATACATGGGTCATTCACAGCCACCTCTTCCATCTGCGCTTCATTGCACAGGTCTCAAAAGCAGGTTCTGCAACGCTTAGAAAATATTCATGCTGTTCTTGATTACAGTGGGGGAAATGATCCCTTCTGTAGCATTGGTGTGCACTCTCTGCTCCCCATTTGGGATCCTGATATCACCGTGCTGGCTGCGTGTGCAGCGCCACCCTCATTCTGAATAATTGCAGCCTCCACTTACCATGCGCAGCATATAAATCCTTAGGAGGCTGCAGATCTGGTTTCTCAGTGAGGAGTGCTGATTTGCCAGGGACTCAGCCAGGCTGCAGATGGCAGGTCTCTCTTCCCTTCCACATTCGGTCCCATCTTCTCTTCCCCACCAAGAGTTGGCTCAGGGAAGGATGAAACAGAGCACTGCTTTAGGGGAGAGGGTCTCCCCCTCCTGTCTGCCGGTCAGTAGCTGACTTGGGAGAGCCAAAAGCAAAGTTTCTGCCTTGTGCCAGTTCCAAAGAAAAAACATCTCTTTTACTTTGTGCTTCTCTCCGCCTCAGGAAAGGCACAACTCCCTCAGGGACTTTCTCCTTTTAAATTACTTTTGAAAGAAACTGCAATTCCTGTTAGCCTCCTTCAGAACAGCAAGAGCTTTCCATCAGCAGGTGAGATCTCCTGTTTGGCAGCCAACAAACAGCCAAGGCCAGCCCCCTGCACGAGTCCCCCAGCTGCAGGAAGAGGTCTTGACCCTTAGGTCCATAGCTACCAGCATGGAGGCCTGTCTCTAGGGAACATGCCTACATGGTTTGCAACTATCCGTTCCAAAATGAGGAGTGTATGTTGGATGCTCAGGTCATCCAGGAGTTACGTACGGATCAACTTAGAGTGAAAAGAAATAACTGATTTCTAAATATGAGATTTCCATCTGGAGAGTGTACTTCATGGGGCTTTCAAGGTATTCTACACACAACCATGAGCAAAAAGCACCAGCCTATGCACTAGCCAGATTCAGCTAACAATAATAATATTTAATCTTGACATAGCAGAGGAATCATTATGAGCAAGATAAATTGTGTTCCCATTTTTCAGAATGAAATCCAGAAACTCACTTTAGCTATGTCTTCACAGACTACATCCTGAGACTTAGCTCAAAGCAACTACCGTAGCATACACACAGAGTTATACTCAAAGAAGCTATTAGCGCAGGTGTGAGAAGCTGGAAGGATGCATTACCAGCATTTATCTGTCATCTCGCCTACCCAGAGATAGCACCACATTATTAGGCCAATTCTCTTCTAGGGGGAACTTGACCCCTAGATCTTTACAGCCGACTGCTTGCACTCCACCACGCGTACAAATGTCATGTGCCCAGGGCTACCTGCAGCAGCATTGCACCAAAAGAAAACACAGCTTTGTTTCAAAAGGTCATGAGAATTGCCTTGACTCCACAGCAAAATGGTGCTAAAAGTGTTGTGTGGAAAAACAGACATGTAATTGCCATCCTCCTAAATAGAGAGACAGAAAATAGCTTTCTGTCTTAAAGCTTCCTGCTATTACAGCCTTCTGTGTGTAACATACACAGTTTCTTCTAGTAAATGGAGGATCAAGGAGTTTCTGAATTTAAATTAACTTCATGAGCAACAATAAATTAAAAATATCTAGCTCAATGTTTTCTTCGTGCCATCATATTAATTAAAAGAGTCTTTATCTGAACCACTAACTACAAAGTATGAAGTCCTTAAAAAAACTCACAAAATCATTGCAGTTCTTTTCATCTCAAATAAGAGCGCGTTAGATTTTATACTTCAGCAATCAAGAATACATTCATAAACTTTGCCCAAATACAAGATTTCTTGATTTTCTGACATAAAATAGCACTTTTTCCCTGTAGATTTTCCACCTAATTAAAGAGCAGTATTTATGGCTGCATGAGCACTACCACTTTCCAAATCAATAACAAGGCACACCAAATACTAGAATGCATCTTGCCTTTTTATTGTTCTAGACAAAGAGGAGTACATTTAACACAATCACTACCATCACAGGTGTAAACTTACAATGTCCCTCTGATCCCTTGGGCGTCAGAAAACATCCACTCATCATTCACTCCACTTTTTTATCATAATAAACTGCGTATATCAACTGTCAGCAATCATTTTTCTAAGTAAAAACACAGCCAAAAAAATAGCGCTTGTTAATAGGCCTTTTGAAGAGTCTTTAAGGTACCAGCAGAATAAGCATGCACACTAGCAATACAAAACCGCAGATACATTGCCCTCCCCGAAAGCTGAGCTGTGCTGGAAAATTCACAGGTTCAGTGTTGGAATCCCACCTCCTGCGAAAAGCCAAGTCGAGATCTGTGCATTGCTTAAGTTCAAATCTCAGTGGGAGTAAAGCAACCTAAGGTCAGTGTTTTGCAAAGGGGTTGCTTTAAACCTACTGTTTGAACTGTACAATAAAACCTGGTCTGTGGTGAGAACTGCTCTTGCTCCCCATCAGCTACCAGTGTTACAGCGGAGAGCGATGCCACTGGAAATGATGTGCTGCATGATTTTGCATGTATTTGTGGGGGAGGGAGGGAATGTGCACTTGAGGGCTGCATGAACACCCTCAGTAAATAGTGGGTCCTGATGACATATAAAGGGTTTTTCTAGAATACTACAAAGGACAAAGCAAATTTCCTGCTTGGCATGCAGGTGCAAGGAAGCTTTTCCTTGCTGAGAGCCACATGCCTTTCAAACAGCTTTGGCAGTACACTCCGTTGTGATATTTAGTATGACTGCAAATAAAGTAATAATTTGGCAGTAGGTCACAGTTTCCAATGGTGGGATGAAAGGGGTGAGAGGAGGTTTGAAAATGTACAAATCCGTCATAAAGTTTCTATCCTTACACTGATATCATTGGGGTGAGGGATTTCAGCTGACCATTGGTGGACCTCCAGCTTGTCCTGGGCTCCCTTTACAGTTCATAAAGAGAATTTGGCACTGCTGAAGCGCCAGTCATCTTACGGTAAAGAAACCAACTTAAAATAAGTCACGTGACTCAAAGCCCCGAAACATCTCTTTCTTTCCACTAGTTTGAGAGGGAGGCCAAGTCACCTTTAAGATCAAGATGTACACCTTTGGTCAGCTGTACCCCTCCCTGGGGAAGCACATAAACTCTAAGACAATATTGTCCTGTAAAGTTAGTTGAAAGAAATGTCAGATAGGGTGTCGCTCAGTCCTGTATAGACAGCCAAGACAACATGGACGCATCACATGGATGCATCCCCGTTCTGCCCCCAGGCTTTTGCGTAATGCACAGACTTGGCGTTTGCATTCAGCTCGGGGATGAATTTCACCCCCAATGAATAAAAAGCACTGCAAAATTAAGGTTCCTCTATGACTTAGCCATAAAAATCTACTGCAGCCAAGTCATTCTAGTTTTTTTCCAAGGGTATTTTCTAGAGACGCTTAACAGGCTGCCTTGTGCTTGGTGACAGAGGCTCAGAGGAGATAGGTTCACCACCCATAAAATAGTTTATATGATGCCTCCTACAGCTTGTTGCTTTTGCTGTCCCTCCCACTCCACACACGGAAATATTAAATGATCCTGACACTAGACTGCAGCTCGAGGGACCTATAACCCCTAAAATAAGCTTAGCAATCTTTCTCTTGTGCCAGTTTGCAAATCCAGGCAATGCACATAAGCATATAATAAGGATGATGATAAAAGAAATATTTCTAGCCTGTTTGCTTTTAGAAAGTTACTAATTGTCCTTGTATCTTACTAAGCAGTGTGACAGTAAAATATCAGCCACTTATGGGAAGATAAATAGACATAGTAACAAAAGTGAATAAAATAACTTTGAAACCCACTTTTGTTGGGTATGGTATTTCAAGTCTACGAAAAATCTTCTATTGTCTACAAGAATTTTCCATTGGGGCCATTTTCTGCTCCTCTTCCCCCCCCTCCCACCTCCCCCTCCAAAAACAGGGAAAAGGAAAACAATGAGAAGGGATCCACTTTTTTTTCCCCAGAGTAACAAGGCCAAATCTTGTCTACTGTTACACTGCCTGCATGGGTCTGTTCTCTCCTGTCTCCCACTGATTGCAGCAGGGATATTAATAGCATCAGCACTTTAATCCCCCCACTATGGAGTGAAATTCTTCCCTGTATAAAGTTCACGAAAGAGCCGTGGACCGCTTTGGTGGAACTGAAATGTTCCTCAACAGACAGTTTGCAGGAGGTTTCAGGGCGCACGGGCGTTTTGTAGGCTCTTTGCCAGAACTCTTCACAGAGGCCAGTGAGAGCAGCTCAACCCAGTATGTGATTTGCTTAATGAAAGACACTTTTCCGGAAGATTTTGGCAGACACAACCAGTTCAATTGCCAGGTGGTGTTCATGTGATTACAAATGTTACTGATCACATTAAGGTATTTAATAAATCCCTGCAAAAAGATCACAGCTACTGTGTGGCTCTGAAGAAATTAATGCTGTGATGCAGATTACTGTGTTTGCTATGTACTGGACTGCTGATAACAATCTCTACACTTGTGGACAAATACCTTCCTCGGACTGCCAAGCAGTCAATGACAACTATTAATTTCTATATAAAACTATGACTGCTTGCAAGTAACTTTTCACCTATGCATCATTGCAAAATAGCTTTCTTTTCATGTTAGGGCCACAGTCTAACATTAAACATATCAAAGAATTATTTAAAAAATATCCTTAGATGTCTTCTCCCAACTGGTATGAAACGATGAGACTCCACTGACTTTCACAGATCGATGGCAATTTACATGTGCTGAGGGCCAGGCCTGAGAATCTAAGGACAATATTTGGCTTGAAATATCAGAAAAGTGAGATGCTGTCCTTACATAAAACCCACGAGCGAGGCTTTGGTACTATTTTTTCTTTCGACATTTCAGCGGATACAATATCACATATAGTAATGATAAAACACACCAAAGCAAGAATGATCTAACTGAGCTCTACCTGTTTGGATAAAAATTGTTTTCCTTGTGGTGTGGCACAACTTGCACTCTAGATCTTCCTGTAAAGTATTGAACAGAATTTTATAAATGAATAAGTGTCCATTGGCCAAATCCCAGTGCTCATTTCAGTGTATTGCAGGAAAGCAATCACAGAGGCCTCTCTTTTCTGCTCTCAGGAGGAGGGTTTCTGTCTGCAAAAAAACATGAAATGAAAGAACTGAATATATCACTTTAAAAGAATATATAATTGATTAGACCTAATCCCTCAGCACAGCTGTACTCAAGGTGCTTTGCTGAGTGAAAAACCATAGTTATTAGTGCTGGTTTTCATCCAGAAAAAGCGATACAAAATAAGCATGTTTAGAACTGGGATGCACGGAGAGTGTTTTTGTAGTTTAAATGTTTTCATTTTCATAGTTAACTTGTAGGGACTAGGTTTGCCAAATTATTTAAGTGTGCTTTATAAATGCTGAGCAAAATTCCACTTTCTGCTGCACTGCTCAATTCCTTCTCAATGATTGATGGCTTCCTGTTGGTGATGTCTTCAGTACTGTGTAATTTAATTGTACCAGACAGCATGTGCTAAGGGGCCAATTGTGTTCTCAGTTACACTACCATTTTTCCAGAATAACTCTGAGTTAAATTCAGCTGTCTTTCTAACCTTGTTCTCTGAAACGCATAATCTCTCAGGGCAGATCTACATTTGAGTTTGTGGCTCCTACTTTAACCTGAGTTGATTTATTGACAGTTGCCTTATTGCCAACTCCATTTGGAGCTATTCCTCCAGAACCCCCTCAACAGCTTAAGTTTGAAAGTCTTGGTGAAAAAGCATTTCCAAGCTTTTTTTCTCTATATCCAGGAAAAAATAATTTTAGATCCTCCAAGATATTGAAGTATCATTTATTTCATTGTGGTCAAACATCCTAGATCTTTTGTGGGTCCTGGTCTTGTCTTTTGAGAAACAAAGGCTGAAATTCCCATCATTTCAGGAGCTGAGTCTCTTGCAGAACTCGCAATAAAATTGTTAGTGCCAGCAACTCATATTAGCAAGTACAATTGTGACTAAAGAGAAACTCAGCATAATTTGTGATTTTCAACCTGTGGTCTGTGGTCCCCAAAGCAGTTTGTGAACTAACTTTGAAGAGCTTCTTAAGAAAAAAGAAGTTAAGAGGCTTAAATTTACTGCGAACAGGGTTTACATCTCCACTGGACAAAACATAAAAACTTGAAAACCACTTGTTCATAATCAAAAATCTCTGTGAAACAAGAAGATCTTTAGCCAGCTGGTGTTCCTTTGACATGACGCCTCCTGACAAATCAAAAACAGCAAGGGCTTCATTAACACAGACACCCACCTCCCACAGGAGCAGCTGGGCACTTCTGTGTAGGGACCTGTTCCACCGTGCTACAACATCCCTGCTGAGCAAAAGGCATCAGCATGGCCAGCTTTACTTCTGTCCCCCAGCAGTTCCCGCCTATATATATACTATACTATACCACTCTATATATATACTATACTATACCACTCTACTGACTTCTTGTTAGATTTCAAGCTTTTGGGGGCAGAGGTTGTTTTCAGAACTGCTTTTCCCTCCCTTCAGAGCCCTCTATTCCCTTAAACCCAAACTTTTGACATCCACCTTTGTGTTAAAGAGGACTTGTTCACTTTCCTTGTCTGCTTGCACTTGCTGGCTTACTGCCATGGCATGTGTTATTAAACACTGCTCCTCGCTTGTAAAATACAATCCTGGATGAGTGAATGCTCTCATTCGTGGGAGACCAGTAGAGATCCTAGAATCATCTTAGCATCACACAGGCTTATTGGATTTCACCGTAATGCCAACAAGCCACAAACCCTGCCTAGGAATCACTAATGACTTAACGAATACAGGCAGGAAGAGCAGCTCTGGGAGCATTCAATTGTAATCTGAAGGACTGTGAAACAGAAACATCAGTTACCAAAATTAATTGTGGCCCTCCTGGCCCTGGCTTAGGAAGCCACGTCCTCCACGGGGTTTGCCCTTGTAACAAGAACTGTCCATAATCAGGGGTTGTTGAATGAAGTTATTTGGGTATAAAGCCTGAGAAGATAAAGAGTTGGTCAGCATAAGCCCAACACCAGCGCTTGAGTAAGGATATGCAGGTGGTACGTTTCAGCAAATAGAAAGCCAGAATGTGCCACTTGTAGAGCTTTGGCCACTGCATTTCACATTAGTATCTCTGCATCATTCAGTAATTTGTATTTAACTGAAGCATCTCCTCCTGAAAGGTCTCCAGTCTCAATCTAAAGACAGGAAAAGATGGAAAGTAATCTACCTTTTCTTTATTAGTACTATTGAATTCCCACACCTGTTCAAGGGTGGGTGATGTTGCAGATAATAAGTTAGGTTTGCTTTGATGATGGACTGTTCCTATACCACTTGTTCTGTTGCACTGAGAGCTGCCCTGAATGAGTGCCTTGTCATCCCAGGCCTCTCCAGGTCTTTACAGAAACAGGGGCTTATCCTATGGAGCTCCGGAGTCAACTTCTTCCTCTGTGCTCTACCTTGCCTCTTACAGCACAGCATTGCTCTCTGATGGGTCCACTACCCACTTCACCCTCCAGGTAGAACAGTCAGAACAGATCTGTGTGAGTATATCTCCATCAGTGGGTTTAAAGGTATTGTGCTCCCTCTACTACATTCAGAAAATCTGCTCACTGCAGCCTAGACAGAAGTTTGGTACCTCTTTTAACTTCCCGTGTAAGAACGTGGTGACGTTAAGGGAACGAACAGAGCTGTGACTACATGTGGTCTTGCCATGTCATGCACAGGTACAAAACATTTCAGCTGAACTTAACCCAAACAGGTGAAACCCCACTTTGCACCAGAACAGCCCAGCACAGCTGCAGGGGGTGATTGTACAGCTGATGACCCTCTGTTCACAGCCTGCAACAATAGTTATTTAGTATTATGCTAGTGGCTTCATGGGAAACTCTTTTTGTACAGGTAACCCATACTGCACTGAGAGTTCTGCCCTAATCAGATTGCTATTCATGGCTCAAAAAAGCTAAAGTCACTCCAACCTTACTGTGTGGGGCTCTACGTGATTGCCCAAGGTCACAAGAAACCAAAGGCAAAGCAACATAATCATCCTTCTGTATTATAGTCTGGGACACGTAATTGATTTACATCTCTTTAGTTGATTCTGCTGTGAGTGACAATTGGAGCAGAGTGTGACTTTAAAGGAACAAGGGGCCCCTCTCACCTACCAACAGAGATGGCACTAGCTGAAGGCACTGAGCAGTCACCTAAAGGAATGGGGAGATGTGGCTACAACTTCATTTATTCAGCAAAAGCTGCTTCCCTGTCATATTGCCAGTGTTTATGAGGCTGTTAGGGATGGAGAAGTAGTACAAGACGTACATGACGGGGGCTTTATTAAACATAAGAGACCTGGTGCCACGTGCATACTTCAGACAGCATAGGGACCACCTGTTAGATGAGTAAGTCCTACCCCAGTCAATATTTGTCTATATTTATGAAACCACATCTGTACGCATCACTAAAATCAGGGTGTTTACCATACCCTGATTTTTTTGTTCATTGGGACTTCTGAACCAGAAGACAGGCATGTGAATTTATAAAATGCCCTGTGTGCTATGATAAGTATCCGAGCAAATTTGCTTCCTCCTTTTTCATGGAGACTGTCAGTGCATAAGCACGGAATATATGTACTTCCCTTTCCCCTCTGTCAGCCTTACTTGCCTTTTCTCCTGCTCTCCTGTTCACCTTCTGCTCCTGTCCAATGAACGGTCAGACCACATTATTATTTTTTCCCCTTCATACATCGTCTTTCCTTCTCTATTTGATGCAGGAACTGTCTGGGTAATTCTTTGGCCTGTTATGCAAGAAGTCTGACTAGATGATCTTTAATGAACCTCTCCAGCCTGTGAAAAATAATCTGTACTTGGTACAATCCTATTTGCTGAAATGGAAGTGAGTCAGCAGAGGTGTCATGTCTGCTGTACATAGACAAGCAGACCTGGCTACTGGGAGATAAAGGCTTAAGTAAAAACATTTCTATAGAAACACATACCCGTGTATCTAGATTATACGCCGTCTTCTTTAAATCCTGCAACGCCCTCTGCATGAACTCAAACGCATGGCAGTCAACACAGGGACGACCTGGAAAAAGGTACAGTGAAAAGGCATCACTGTCACAGCATGAAATCAGGAGTGTGGCAACACAAAGAGGAAATACTCAGAGATCTTGCACTGCCAAAAGAAAACCCATTTTACCAGGCACCCGCATGTGCATGTGTACAGAGTTAGGGCTGTCTGTGGACAAAGCCGTATCTATCCTTGTGCAAGTGCTCACTTCATGTAGGAAGACGAGCAAAAGCAAATTAGCGTTTTGCTACGTGTGCTCTTCTGAACATAGGCCAGGCTTGATTCTGCCAGGTGCTGTGTGCCTTCAACCCCCAGCCTCTTGCCTTAAAATTAAAATCCTCGGCTCCTCATACGTGAGTTAAATCTCAGTCTATACTCTGAAAATACCAGTTTGCAGTGGTTCAAAAATCAGAGAGGCAGGTCTGTTTTTACAGGAGACCTTACAGAAGAACAGCTTGGCAAGGGGCAGAGCCAGATCTGTATTTGCTTCCTTTCACCTGCTGCTGTATTTTCTCTCTGCCAGAAATGCAAAGCGTCCCACTGTCTCTGCAGCTGGTGCCAGCGTGTGTGCACAGAGGGGCAGGGCAGGGAAAAGGCAGAGAAGAGGAGGAGGAGGAGGGAGGGACTTGTTCACTGATCTCACTCCCTGTCGTTCAGTCACAGAGTTAACGAAGCGTGGGTTTTCAAGGGAAGAAATCTCAGATACTGGAGGAGATGCATGGGGTATGGAAGGAGAGACAATGTTGCACTGATCACAGAGCACCCCTGATGGGGGGAAGCGCTAAAATCCTTGTCATGATGCCACCACTTGTGCTGCTCTGACAGAGCAAAGTGGGTGCAAAGCTGCTGCTCAGATAGCTAAGGAGCTCCCTGATGCCAGAGGGCTCCTGGGCAGCGTTGCAGGACCCCATTCCTGGCTCCCTGCTGGGCAACAGGCATTTCTGAGCTGGGCCTGATGGAAGGGAACAGCCAGCCTACTTCTGGCTCCGTCACTCCCCAGCAAGCCTCTTCGGGGCTGTGACCTGTCCAGGAGGTATTTCTCTCTCGTCCAACCTCCTCCATCTCCCCTCCACACAGCTCACATCTCAGGCAGATTCAAAAGTCAAGCCAGAGATTTCATCCCAGGGATTTGGGGAAATGCTAAGTCCCCACCTCTGTAAGAACAGCATCACTTGCTAAGACCCTCTCCCCGGGCCTTAGATGAGTAGAGAGAGAGCGCTTTGAGCATATTTTTAAAGGCACTCAAAAAACCCCCTCCCTTTTCAGTATTTCAGTAGTCTAACTGTTTTCATTTCAGAGCATGGAACAGAGCCCTGAGAAAGAAACCTGCATCCTCGATGTGCTATGAGCAAATCTGTCCTTCACTTGGCACTGTGGCCTGCTCCTGTTGCTGGGGTCTTCTTGGAAAGCAGCCCCTGCCCTGGCTCCACCTCAGGGAAGTGCCACATACCCTGAAGTGCCTGTCACCAAAATGTTCTCAAAATCAGAACTCGCTGGAGAAAAAATAAACTAAAGGTCACAAACGAATATCTCTTGCCCCTGGCAACGTGGAGAAATACAGACAAGGAGACACTAGTGGAACCACTAGTTCCACTAGAACCACTAGGAACAACGACGCCAAGTGATTGCTGCACTTCTGCTATCCCTGTGAAAGAAGCTGCTTGAACATTAGAGCAGCTTCTGTAGCAAAACGGTGGTGGCACTGAGGATATCTGCCCATGCAGATCTGTGGGTCCTGGATCAGACCATACGTCTTATACTGGCACAGGGCAACTTGAATGCAGTTTCCCCTAAAAAGTAGATTAGGTAAGTAGTGGTATTTCCTCACTCCCCAAAAGGTCTATGGCTACAGTCTGATTTTTACCAGCAGAGCTACCCAAGTCCTGACTCTGACTGGGCTTTTGAGCTATCATACTAGCCAGATTCTCACAGTAGCAGATAGTTAGGAAAGTCATAAGGATAAGCCTGTAGCAATATTCTTCCAAGCTCCTGAGAGGTTTGTTTTGCTACCCAATAAGCCCTCCATGGATTTTTCTCACATTAATTTGCCCGTTGCCTCCTGAATCCATGTAAATTTTGGCCTCTACAACATCCTGTGGCAATGAGTTCCGCAGCTCAGCTATTCATTGTGCAAACAAAATACTGATTTTATCTGCTCTGAATTTATCATCTTCTCGTTTCATTTGCTGCCTCTATACTTTTTGCATTGGAAGATACAATTATTCTATATTCACTAATTTTGTTCCACTTATGACTTTGGTAATCTCTATTACTCCCTGCCTCGGTTGTCTCTTTTCCAGAGTGAACAGTATTAGGCCTATCTAGCTGGACTTATCCTCCCTTAATGCTCTCAGTACTTTCTGTAGGATGCCCATGGACATTTCCCCAGAGTCACTATGTCTAAGGCTCTGGTTTCACAAAGGGGTTAAACAAATCTAAGTGTGTGCGGCTGCCAATAGGAGCAGTCCCACACTCCCTTCTGTCCTTGGCGATGTGTTCCCGCACCTTCCCTTGTTCACACTGTGGGTGACCATGCAGTTGCCTGGTCAGCTGATCACTGATTTTTTTCTCCAGAGCATCTCCCTGGACTGGCTGAATGCACAAGTCTTAGGGCCAGGACAAGAAATGGGGCAAAGACAGAAGGCCAGGGTTTGGGAAGGGGAAGGGCACAGGCAGCATAAATTTACATCAGCTTAAAGTAATCATGAAACCAAACCTTAAGTCACATCATAGCAAAGTGCTATTAATTCCTTGCTGACAGCTGGGAATAGGCTATCATTCATAGGGAGACTTAACAGGTTTGTGGATTAACATAATGAGAATTATCAAGAGTCAGCTATAATTCTTTAAATGGATCCTGTCAGCATGAAGGCTGTATGCGTCTGTTTGGGGAGAAGTGGGGGAGGAGAGCTTAAAATATGCTTCTTGGCCACATTCTTGGTGAAGAACTGGAACTGAAAACACGGTGGAAGTCTAATTTACTTTCCCTCACATGTGCGCTGTGTTTATTCTTTGTATTTCATGCATCTTGGCTAATTAAACAGACTGATCAGCTTCTGTTCCTCAGACTCCGCATTTCAGCTTTTGCAGTGGGTGATTTGGGTTGTAAATGCAATGGGAGGTTGGGGAAATTACTTAATCTTTTTAGTGGTTTGCACTGAACTTTGAAGAAAATCCTCTGCAATCATTTGTAACACCACTTTATACTTGAACAGTCTTTTGAAAAAGCAAAGTGCTTGGGTATGCAGTATAAGGACCTGATTAATCATTGCTAATTAGCATTATTCATAATAAGCTAGGCATGGCTCCTTGATTTTCTTGCAAGCAAAGTGGACCGTAGGAGATGATACCCCAAGCCAGATATCACTGCCCCCTCACAGGGCAGAATCCTTCTGTAACACAGAGAACTGTGACTCCTTCTCACACCTCTCCACTGTAACTGCTACATCTCCCACACTTGCACTTCTCTCTCCTGTAACCAGCAAGGACCAGAACTGAGCATATGAGGTCAGTAAACAGCTCTCCTCTCCCTTATCCCTAGCAAAACCAGAATTAGTATGGTCAATGTACAACATGTCTCTCCTGCTAGAACCTGCACTGCAGCCTCTCTTCTCTTCCTGGGTCATTCAGGATCATGCAGCCAGCAGTTTACCTGGGCTGACAGTATGGACTTAAGCACCTGCAATATGGAAGATGCACATATGTGTTGCTGTTGCACTTCCCCCCAAATTGCCCACTACTATCAACTCCTTGGTGAGAAACAGTCAGTGGAGCTGTCTTGTAGGACAAGATGTAGGAATGTCTATACTAGATCAAAAGGAAGGTCGATCTGGCCCAGTTTCCTATCTTCCACGAGCTACATGCCTCATAGTAAATAACCTGTGCCAGGAGCCTTTTCAGGCTTTAAGAAAAGCTGGCACGGAACAGTTCATTCTGACGGTTAACTCTTGGCCTTCCAGACAGGCAAATGGCCTGCTGTCATGGACAAAGGTGTGCCAGGGACCATTCTAGCCATTTACAGTCATGTTCCCCTGCCAGGAAACAGCCCTGGGCACTATTTACTTTCCTGGTATAGATATGATCTCCATTGCCAACAATGGGTGCCCACAGAAGCACACAAGAACATGGCAAACACGCAGGAATGTGTCCCTAGAAGACCCTCCCAGGCCTCAGCAATACGTGACTTACAGAGTGCCAGAGCCAGAAGAGGTGCTTCGGTATCTAACAGCCCTTTCTGAGACTTTTCTTTCTTGAATTTACCTAATCAGTTCTCTGATACCATGTAAACTTTTAGCATCCCCAGGGAAGCAGCTCCACAAGTTAACTATCAGAAATAGCACCAATAGCACCAATGGGTTGCTTGTTGCCTTAAAACTCCACCCCTGCAGCAGCACAAAACAATCATGATCAGCTGGGAGCCTTCCTCTTGGCCTGGTTTCAGACAGAAATAACTTTCTAGCATTCATAGCAATGCTAGCAGGATAAAGCTGCCAGCCTCCATTATTCCGGACAGAGCAGCATATCTCCTCAGGCCACGGAAACACTCAGACCTGCCTTCAATTCCTCCTTGTCACATGCAAGAACAGGGCAAACCGAGAAATCTTTCTCAAGGGTTCTTCATGGGGCTCAGCAACCTGGCCACAGGATGTTGAAAAGATTAAGTAACACCTTGAGACTGAGGTTGGAATCTGTGGCCAAGATACAGTTCTACAGGTAAAATGGGAGTTTCCACTATACAGGTGGAGCGACGAACCACCATATACTTTTTCCCCTCAATGTATATTTCATTGACCTACCTCTGCTAACAAAGACACACAAAGGGCACGTATAATTTATTTCTCAGTCACCATCTTCTCCTTGACAAAAGACAAAATAGACTACTTGCCACAAAAATTATTCAAGTTAATTAATGCACACCTGGAAAACAGACACACAGAACAGAGACGAGTGATAGGACAACTAGAATGGGACAGACCCAAACTTAGCACTGTCTCACTAACAAAAAAAGAAGAGAATGGAAAAAGAAGGGAACTCAGCATTCAAGTCCTATATAGGCAGCCATAGGCTTATTTAGGAAACAGTAATACTATTCTGGGAGAATAATATGCAGTGACTAAACCACACCTTGGATTAAAGATTTTGATGGTCATGTAAAAAGACTGCTGTGATAAAAAATAAGTGTGACTACTAACTAGAGATTGGCTTGTATGCAGTTACCTTCTTTTTGTTTTCTCTCTCCAGAGGATATTTTACATTTCTAATGAGTGGCTACTTCACACTTGTTCTCATCAAAACACCCTGAGAACACTGCCTCCTTCTCCTAACACCTTCCCTTTGTACTATTGCCTCCTTTTAGAGCTAGGAAAGTTGAACTGGAGACTTGCTCAAAATCACAGAGGAAGTTAATACAGAGCTGTGAGCTGAATTCAAGAACTCCCAGCTCCGAGGGCTGCGCTCAATCCAATCTGCCATATTTCGTCATTTTGCTTTGCAGAGCATGATTTCTCAAATCTGTACATGTTTTATAGATGTGCTGTTTGGGTCAATTTCCCCTGTGTCAATCCACAGTAGTTACAAGAAAGCTGAACTTGACCTATTGTTCTAACCAAATACCAAAACACGCAAAATGCAGTGCCCTAGCAGACATAAACATGATTTTCCTTCTAACAGGAAGTCCTTTTCCCAGACTAGCAAGGACTTTGTATGTATAGTGGCAAATGTGGCGATGAAACTCTCCAGAGGTGAAACAAAAAGACCTACAACCAAATAGTTTTCAAATAAGCTCAGATGAAAGTTATAGTATGCCGTTATTATTTTTTCCTAAGTAACTACTGATTTTTTGCTTGCTTGCTGTTTCTGTAAATGCTGTTTTCATGTGGTTTGCTGATAGGCAACAAAGTCATCATTACTCCCTCACGTACGAGTCAATGCAGTATCCCCCTGGAGCTTAAGATCTGTGTGGATGAGGGGGGTTAACCGAAGGAAAGAAAGCAAGAAGCAGTGCCCTGGGAAGGCATGAGTGCAGCACGGCAGGGTACATACTTTCCGCTGGAATGACACTCCCAGAGTCCTGGCTGGCCCCAACAAGCCTCACGCTTAGCAGGCCAACCACCGAAATGAACGGGATGGCCACACGCATCACGCTGCAGACAGACGGCAATGGCATTGCTCTCATCAATTATTCAAGCTATCTTCTCAGCCTGAAAGGAGAAATAGTGAAAATCAGCTGTTTGCTCCCAGCGTACTCCGTTCCCCCTAGGGAAGCAGACAAAACGTGATAGGCACAGATCCACATGTACACGCAAACCCACAAGCACACATCACTGCAGCAACATGCCATGAACTTGGAGATGTGATGCCCCCCAAGGACCAGTTTGCCAAGTACCTGATCTTTCTCTCCGCTTATGTGACAGACCCTTGGAAACAGCTGTAGCAAGCAGGCGAGACTCAAGGCAGCCACACTGAGCATGCGTCCCCTCTTGCATCTCCCCCCTGCCCTGATTAGGGTCATTGCCATGGAGAGTCACTATAGCAACACTGAAAAATTGGAGCTGCCAAGTGGAGGAGAAGATTTAAAGGGACCGCAACGATGGTCGCTGCTTTCCTCATGCGTTGCCTCTGCTCCCAGAAGGCTACTTCCTCTCCTTGGTGAACACTGGTTGCTGCTATGCAAGTAAGAGTGTCTTAGGCAATGTTTGTGTTTGTTTCTTTTATTCCCAAAAGGATTGTGCTGAAACATGTAGTGCCCATCCCTTGCTCTAGCTGTAATTCACTTAAAGTGAAATTCTGTTCCAGGAGGTTTTGAACGAAATGAAAACTCAGAAATTTGCTTGGAAAAGCAAACCTGCTGCTGACCTCTTGCTCTCTGTGTTGAACCCCATTAAAGGCTTAGTGCAACTCTGACAGTAATGAATCCTTGTGGACAACAACAATGCACACGAGCCAACCGGGAATATGAGTCCTGCACAGCATCATACTAGGTAGCCATGATAATAGCCCAATCAAAACTGATGCACTGTGAAATTTTAAGAATAACTACCTGGCTGAAATCAAGCCCTCAGAAAGTGCAGGTGATACCTTCTGGAAAAAAAGAGAGAGGTTCTGAAAACCTGATTGCCACAGAGTGTGATTAAAGACTCAAACTCACAACGTATCTGTTCAATCCACCGCTTTGTCATTCTCTTAGGGAAAAATGTTCTACTTTCTCCCACTTCCTGGTCTGTAACAGAAGGAATAACCTGCCAAACTGCGGAAGTATCAGCCTCTCCAGGCTGGGACAGAATTTAACACTGACTCTCTTCAGCCATAGGGACTGTTATCAGCAATACTCCTGTTTTGCTTGCTTCTCTGTCTTCCTTCAGAATTACTTCTCACATCCCTAATTTCAACCCTTATGCTTTGGAAAAGTCACCTTAAAGGACTCCAGGCTCTTGACTGTTTTTTGACAAAGTGGAATTGCCCTTTACGTACAAGAGAGGACTCGCAGGGAGTCAGCCCAGAGCAAGGGGGAGTTCCTACAGGAACGACACACTGAGCTAATTTTTAGGTCCAAAGTGCAACTGGAATCCAATTTCCCTTGTGTAGAGGGTCCGAATGAAGATCTCAGTCAAAGGGGTCTTCAGAAGGTGAGTCAGGGCATAGGTGTGCCCCAAAGTATCTCCACTGAATCCAAGCTCTGAAGTTGGATGGCTAAAGTTAGACTGGGTGAGATGGCCCATGTTAACACTGTCTTTTCAGAGGCCCTCAGATGCCTGTTCAGGGAACAGCTCTATAAGAGCCAGGATGTAGTGGAATAACATTGCAAAGTTTGACTATACACTCATCTAGGGCTGGTCACATAGTGTAGCATTCTTCTGCACAGTTTTAAATAACACCAAATGGAAATTCTGGAATGAAATCAAAACCTTACACTTCCATTAACTCTGGCATATGTGTTCCCTCAACATAGACTCTTTATGGTCCCATAAGCCATATCACACTTGTCATACATGAGCTTAAAGAAGAGGACAGAAAGCAATTGCCTACAGAGGCAATAACCCTTGATAACATGGAAGCTGCTGTTTAATACTTTTTCAAGGTACCAATAGTGTTTTCTAAAG